TCCTGTTTTTAATAGTGGCTGTACTAATGCACACACCCACTGACCATGTGCAAGGGTTTCTTCTTCTCCACACCTTTGGCAACACTTGGTATCGTTCATCTTTTCAATAAAAGCCATATTAAGAGGTATAAAATAATATCTCCTTATGATTTTAGTTTGAATTTTCCTGAATAAATGATATTGAATACTTTTTCATATCCCTATTAATTAGATATATATATCTCCTTTCCAGAAATGTCTATTTGTAGTCTTTTTCTTCATTTTTAATGAGATTATTTGTTTGCTTGATATCCAACAATACTTATTGGAAAGCCCATCTATTATTCAGTGTATTGTGTTGTATCTTTGCCAAAAATCTGTAGGTGTGTTTATGTGGGTGAATTTTAGGGTTCATTATCAGTTTGATTCATCTATGTTTCTATCTCCTATTTCACACTGCCTTAATTATAGCTGCATGTCACACATTTGTATGAGATTGAGTTATTTACTTGACTTTAATTTTTTTCAGAAATGTTTTAGTCAATCTGAAGCTGAGTATTTGCATATAAATTTTAGAATGAGTTCATATATGTCTATAAAAGGCATGCATGATTTTGATAGGAATTGCAATAAAGCTATAGATAATTTTGGGAGAATGGATATATTTATTAGATTGAATCTGAATCCATGAACATATTATGCTTCTTTATTTATTTGTGTCCTTGGCTTTGTTTTCTAATTTTCTAATTTTGAGGTTATAGAGTTTTTATGTGTTTTCTTAATTTTATACCTAAGTATTTCATTGGCTTAAAACAATTGTAAATAGTAACGTTGTATTTTTAGGTAATGAGTCTTCTCTCAGACAACCCTCCCCACAAAAAGGGTTAAAATAGACATAAACAATATCTTATCATGGTTACTGTTCTATTTGATAGTCTGCTTCTTGTGTGAAGGAGGTACAGCTGAAGGAACACGTCAGTGAGGCTGCTGACCAACCGCAACCTTAAATTTTATATGGAAACCTTTGCTCTAGAATTTTGGATTCAGTTTCTGAGCTGAGTGCCTCTGAAATAATTCTTCCCATATTTGAAGTTTAGTGCTTTTTATTATGAAATAATATTTTCTTATAACTAATTGTGAGTATAGTCAAATTAAATGACATAAAAAAGTATCTAGCACACAGTAAGTGATCAAAAAGTGTTTTTTATTTCTTCTTTCCTTTCCTTCTTCTTCCCTTCCTTTTTCTTCCATTCTTACCCATGCAAATCCACTGTTGTGGATGGGAACCATATGTTTCCACCTAGCGTGGGTCTCTGTGCTAGCTATAGCCTGAGTAAGTGAACCAGAGGACAGTCTCCTTGGCCTGGCTCACCCCCAAGAAGTCCTTATCATTACATGTTATTCTTCTTGATGATGTGAATGATGTAATGATGAGGACTGTTAAATAATGAAGCATATTTCTTTTATTTACTTTTTATGCTAAGCAATTCAGTGAGTTTTCATGAATAATGAGCCACTTTTTTGAGTCTTCATGAAAGGAGGGTGGTCTGTGGTGGGCGATTAGCATGACTAGTGAGACCTGGATGCCTCTAAATGCAACTGCGACTGCAACTCTTCATGCCTTGTTTGATTTGAGTGCAGCCCTCAGCACCCAAAAGTACCAGAAAGAAAAAAGCTCCCATTCTGGTGCAGAAATCGTCCTGAAATTCTTGATTTGAGTTCATAATAACAGTCCCAGATGAGAGTGGGCTAATGAGAATTGTCATCCTTCCAGCTGAATCCACTCTATACAAGAAAGAGCTCAATGTAGAAGCCTGAAGGATGGGGGAGGGAGCTTTCTGTCCGTTGAAAATTCAAACTTAACTGCTGTCCCCCTAGAACTTATCATTCCTTTTTCATTCTCCTCACTTTGGCAAATGTAGTTTGTTTGGAACAAGCCCCTCCAACCCTTGGTAGGAATCGTGGGCCAATTGTATGACTCAGGGGCTGCAACGCAGTTCAGAAACCACTGAGAGTGCTGGCTAGGGCTATGACAGCATCTTATTTGCTATCATAGGACCAGTTATCCTCACTGCTCAGAGCCTGGAGAGATTATGTTACTTAGACCAAAATGGAACCATGGGCAAGGAAATAACCAGCCTTAGAGGATACCACATGATGAAAGGTAGCTTTTTATTGAAGAATCTATACATTTTCCATCAGCAATCAAAGTGGATCTTTGGAAGTGTATTAGCTTAGGATTCAGACAGTAACTAGAAATAGAACTTTAAGTAGTTATTGATCTTGGTTTATATTCTTAATTTTTCTTCAAGGGCTGCTTGCACAAGTGACACTTTCTGTCCTGAAGCTTTCCCATTTCAAGTCCTTTTAGTGGTGGTCATGAAGGTAATAGTGTTTAGATCAGAATGTCAGTCCAGAGAAACATTATCCCGGCAAAATTTCTGCTGAATGTCTCATGCACCAAATCTGAGATCACTTCTTTTGGATGTTTCTGGTAATGAATGCACATGAAACCTGTCTACACGGAGCTTATTCATGCCAGTTGTTTCCTCTTCTTTCTCCAGCAAGGGCTGAAAATAGTCCATCATGCAGAGAAGACACTGTCCAGCTTCTGCAAGTGGCAGAAGAGCATCAACCCCAAGAGTGACCTCAACCCTGTCCATCATGATGTGGCTGTCCTTCTCACCAGGTACCTGGGTTTCTATGCGGGGCCTAGGGAAAGCAGGCAAGGCTTTCCAGGTATTTGTAATCATGAAATTCTCAGTACTCTGTGCTGCTCTTGGGCAATCAGGAAGGTAGCAACTTTGATACATTCAGCTCCTGACTCATACGAGTGACAGTGGAGGAAGAGCATAGGACGCATGCTCATCTGACAATACTTCCCTAGCCAATAAGTCATCTGCTGAACAAATGTGAGACTGGGATTTTTCTTTCCTGCCCCATGGGCCCAGCAGTTTTCACTTGATGAAACAAAAACTCATGTGGATTCTCAAGCCTGCTTTGGTTTCTGTGAAGCAAAAGACAAAGGAGTAGGAGACTATTTATTGCTAAAAATGGTGTCCACACAAAATCCATGAGAACATATTTGCAACTAATTAAAGCTCAGAATCTTATGGACATTGTTGAAAGTCAAGAATTATTGGTCAAGAGGTTTTCTTTTACTGAATAAAATCAAATGATTAAATAATGGCTCTCTCAAAACTCTTTTTGGTGATTGAAATAATTCCTGCCGATATATGGAGGCACATTTTTATTTAAAGGGTAAAACCAGTCTTAGAGGATACCACATGATGAAAAGACATTCCTAGACATCTTCCTTTCCCAGAATCAATGAATTCCACAAGATGCCATTCTGTCTGTCTCTGTATCTTCTCACCCTTCCCATGTTTGAAGTGTTGTCTTTGTAATGTGGCTGTACAGATCCTTGGTCTGATCTCTTGTGGGGGTGAGTTGAAGAAACCAATTGCTTTTCTCATGAATGGGTAAAAGCTGTCAGATGAGTTTTTAGCATAGATCACAGAGAAGTTTCATATTTGAAAAACTTCAGTCACTGTTAACTGTTCTTTCCCTATTTAAAAATTCAAATTAACTTTAGTTTTCAATGAAATCTCTTATTGGCCAATTCATATAATTTGGCTTCCTGAGATTAAGAGCAAAATAATCCCAAAGAAGACATTCACCATATTCCCTCACATTTTAAAGTGTCACTGAAATTCAATAATTAAAATTAAAATAGGCTTAGTGCTAAAATGTACCTTATATTCATGTTGATGTTTAAGCATGCTTTACAAATGATACTGAATATAAACAGATTTTTTCCAGGAGGTTTTTCAGCTGCTTCCTTTGGTGTCTCACCATCTCTATTCCTTGCCTTCAGAAAAGACATCTGTGCTGGTGTCAACCGTCCTTGTGAGACCCTGGGTTTGTCTCACCTGTCAGGAATGTGCCAGCCTCACCGTAGTTGTAACATCAATGAGGACTCCGGACTCCCCCTGGCCTTCACGATTGCCCATGAGCTGGGACACAGGTAAAGGTCAAGGAAGTTGAGATCTGTTTGCCACACTCATGACTCAGTATCAGTAGAGCAAACAAAAGCACTTTAAGTGTTAGATTTTGATTGAATTATGTCTTGATACTCGCCTGCTAGACTGTAGGGATCCAGCGGTGTCTCAGTACCCCAGGGAGAAACAGAAGCAGGAATGAGAAAAAGATAGACACAAAGACAAGAGCTGGGTGAGGAGGGGGCTTGATGCCTGTTTGGCATGTGACCCCAAGAACAACAGTAGAGGCCTCTGTTTATACCACTGAAAAGTTAGCATCATGTGACACAGGTTGTCTTGTGACTAATAGCTGACGTCAACCAGGCAGGAAGCTTTTCTCAGGACTGAAGTAGCTTAACTGCTTTAGGCAGTGAGGCTTAGTCCTGCTATCATACATCTGACCAGTTTCTAGCTTTTGTGGCTCCCAACACTAGCCTTCTGTGTTTTCATCTATAAAGTGGGAATAGCAACACATTTCACAGTCTCCAGTATCTTCTCTGCCCTGTTCACTTGCACCTGTATGTACATCACAGAATCCAGGAGACCACACAGTTCTCTCAGGAAGATGTAGGCAGAGGCAAGGAGAAAAATTATTCTTGAATTAACTTGAATTATCAGTTGAGGAATAACCTCTGATGAATTCATAAGAAATGATCGTTGTGATTTCACTAAAAAGACAGAAGCTTAATGTTTTTTGAATCTTTTTTCCATTATGCTTTTCAGTGTGTCATTGAATTCTCTTAATTTTTCTATGAAATAGATACTATTGTCAGCCCCATCGGTTATATATATATATATATATATATATATATAGAGAGAGAGAGAGAGAGAGAGAGAGAATATTGACTAAATAAACTTAAAACTGCTATAAACTTGAAAGATCATTAAGTGAACACCAATTGACAAGATATCCAAGTTGTTATAAAAGCATGCAGATTTGTTTAGATGAATCTCATGAAAGCAGTCTTTAAAATGTTTGGGAATTATAATGAGAATATTGGAGAAATATAATGAGGATTTTGGATTCAGCAGGTACCAAGGGTTCCCTTAGAGGAAAGATCTTAGCTTACTTGTAATGTTGTCAGTCATCATAATGGCTAACTACAAATAAGAGTGCACTGCAGTCCTTGGCAGCAGCTCAGAGTAGGAAGTTCCAGGGATAGCTAAGCTGTACACCCTAGCTTATCATAATCCAGCAGCCTGGGTGGTCTGCCCATCCAGAGGAGAACCTTTGGGCCAATCCTGAGTGCATGCCTAGAAACAAGGCCTGGCCTTTCCAAACAGGCATCACCTGCCACATAACAACCGAACTCACAGAACAACTGAACTTCTCAAAAATAATTTCACCTCCACTACAATTGTAGCCCGAGTCTTGGCCCCAGAGAAACCCTGTGCTTGGTCTGGCTTTCTGAACAATGACCATAGTGACCTTCTACGATACTGTGGATAGCTCTCAACTTGTTTTCTCATTTGAGAGACCAGTAGGTTGAACCAGACAATTTCTTCAGTGCTATTGTTTGCTGGAGCCTCATCAAAATATTCCGGAAATAAATATGAGATAGTTTAATATCCTTAGTGCAAAATTCAGAAGGTAGAGAAATGAAACTAATTTGTAATTAGATACTAATTGAAAACTTGGGGGAGCTAGGACAGAATGTAATCTTGATAAAGCCAAATGAAAGTAATGGGCCTGCTGATCATAGAACTCAACACAAGGAAAATTATTTTTATGTCTGCTTTGCAGAAGAGGGTTGTTTCTTCCTGCTCACTGGTGTTAACAATAGCTGCTGGCCATGTAATAGCAATTGAATATAAACAATCAAACAGAAAAGCCATTGGCCATGTGCTTTTCAGCAGTGCTATACCCAAGCTAAAAAAAGTTAAGACTTAGCGTGACAAAAATGCATGTTTTGAATGTTTACTTCTTCTGTTCCAAGGGTGGATTCTTTAATCCTCAATTTCAAGCTGACATTGTGAAGAGAAACATGCTATGCAGGTCCCCCCAAACACTGTTTTCTTGTTTTGAGGCAATTATTGGCATGAGTATTGCTGGGCATGGATATATGACTTTTGTGAGGAAGGTCACCTAAATAAATAAAGATGAGGGCAGGTATAATTCTTCCTTTAGATTCCAAAGTTTCTCCAATGAAGTTGAGAATGATGGAGTAAAATGATTTGAACACAAGGTGTTGAACACTGGAAAATAAAGCTATAGAAGTTCAGCAGTTATCAAAATATTGGCTTGATTATCAGAATAAAATAGGTTCCATCAAATCAGGTTGATCCTATAAGTTATCCTATAAGTTTAATACCAGTGTGGAGCTTGTTGAAGTATTTTGCTTATAAAACTATAAAACAAGTCATTACCCTATGTTCATGTTGTTACTGTTATAGCTGTTCTGTTTAAAATTATGCAAGGAACAATGAGAATTAGATTCAAAAACAATCCTTTTCAGGTAAAAATCAATTTCCAAAGTAAAAGAACTTGAGAACACTCAAGGCAGAACTAGTGTGCAGTGTTTGAGTTTATTCAGAAACTGACCCTCCCTCATAGACTTGAATGCACTTCATTTATATGGAAGGTAAAGGAAACATGTTTCGGGCAGGAAAATACTGAAAAAGGAAGTAAAGGGAATCAATAAATGGTTAATTATCTCAGCTCCCCCTTTGGGCAACTGGACCTTAATCCCATGGAAAAACTCTGAGAAAAAGAAGTGTATTTTAGCTTTATCTCACACGAGGAAAGGATTGGGTTATTTTATAAAATATCCTTATTGGTCGAAGGCTGATTTCAAGGGCTGTGATTCCCTTGCACCTCATGGTTATGAGGCAAAGACAGAGCAGTCTAAACTAGCCTTGGAGAAAGGCCCTCGGCAGAGAAACACAAAACTGGCAAAATCAGCAATTGGAAGTGAGCTGCTCATAAGCCTTCAGCCAGCCCCAACACCATCTGCTACAGCTTACTGGGGAGCATCCAGTGTCGGCTCTTACCAAATTCTGAGTCACAAAGATGTAGAATATATATACTTTTCCCTACTCCTATTAAACATGATGAAAACCTCTGAACATTGTGTGAAAGACAAGCAAATGAATTCCGAAGGATGGAGAGAACAGGGAAGACTGGTTATGCACAACAGGTCCCAAAGATAAGCTGGCAGCGAATCCCCTGCTTTGCTGTGCCTTCACGTATGCCAGGTTTAGAGCTGATAGCATCAGCAACCTGGACTCACACAGACAAAACACAGCCCTCCATTACGTTAGCTAGCTGAAAAGTTTTGAGAGCAGGCCAGTAGCAGTTTAACTTGAACCACATAGCACAGGAAAGAGGGGGACTTCATGTTTCTCCGTGCTAGCAAAATCTGAGTGGGGACCTAGACTTCCATTCTTAAGAGACTACAACAAAGTAATCAACACTGCCACTGAAAACAAAAGAAAACACAAAAAACTGAAATCCTGCCACTTAAGTAGTGTCAAAAGATCACATAGGGCTGCAGAGATAGCTCGGCTGTCTAAGCACCTGCCTGGAACACACAAGGACCCAGGTTCAGTCCCCAGTATGGCATGCTGGGCCAGTCCCAGAACCCTGGGAAGGGGCTGGAAAGATAGCTCAGTGGAATAAGTGCTTCCCTGGCAAGCACAAGGGCCTGGGTTCCACAAATTAAAAAAAAAGAACCTGGGTATACTGTGCCTTCCCCAAAACCAGGTCTGGTGATGCATACCTATTAATCCCATGCTGGGGAGGCTGAGACAGGAGGATCACTACATAGCAAGACCTTGTGCCAAATAAATAAATAAATAAGTTTTAAAGTGCCACATAAGTCACTGAGACTCTGTCACCTCTAGGGCATTCGGGAATGTTTCCCTAGCCCCAGCCCTGTGACGTCAATGCAGACCTTATCACCCTAGCACCAATAGCAGACAAAACAATATTCTTCATGAATATTGATATAAAAACTGCAACAAAACATTAGCTAATAGGATTCAGGTATAACATAATCAGACACAAAGACCAAGTAGCATTTATTCCAAAAATATCTTGCTAATCCAACATTTAAAAATCAATTATCTCAATCTTCCATAGTAATAATCCAAAGAAGAAATAACTAATTTGAAGATAACATTATGCAGTACAGTACAGCAATCATTGTCGAATTCCTATTGTTTGATGAAGCTTTGATTCATGTTGTCTTGTTTTTGGTTTTTTTTTTTTTACTATTTTTTTCTTCTCTTTAAAGAGAAGAAATATGCACTTCCCAACAATGAAATTCAGAGTTAATTTTTAGGTTCAGCACCTGGAGTTCTCTTGGTTTTAGGTTTTCTAGGCCAATGATCTCCTCTTCCTCTCTCCTAATTTGTGGTCCTACTTCAGTAACCTTGTCTTAATTATGCTAGTTTTCTGGTCTTTGTTTTTATTTTGATCTCCACAATAACTTTCTGAAAACTAGTAACAGATTATTTTTTAAAATGACATGAATACCTTAACTGATATAAAAAATTCATTTGACAAAATCCAACACATATTCATGATTTCAAAAACTTACAGAAATAAAGAAAAACTTCCCTAACTTGGTAAAGACCATCTAAAACAAATTTACTATTCAACATAATATTAAAAGTTTCACCTGGGCCGGCCAAATAGCTCAGCGGATTAAAGTGCTTGCAAACTGGCACAGGGACCAGAGGTTCAATCTCCAGGCCTGCCATGCCAGCCCACCTCTGGAGTGTTCTGAGATGGCAATTGAGAATTGAGACTGGGTGTGGTGGTGTGTGCCTGTAATCCCAGCTCTTGGGAGGCTGTAAACAGGCAGATCACTATAAGTTAGATCTAGTAGTGAGACCCTGAACACCCTCTAGATCATTCCCTAAAAAATACAAAAAGAAAAAAGGTTCTATCACATTTCTATGTCCTAGCAATGAACAGGTAGACAATGAAATTTTAGAAATTAATACCATTTATAATGACTCAAAGCTTGATTTTAGACTTTTGTCTTGCAAATCTGTGAGAGAATTTCTGCTGAATCACCAAGTTTATTTTCATGACATCCCTATGAAACTAACATATCATGCATCCATCAAAGCACTGGTATCTAGAATATAAAGACTTTCCAAATCAATAGTTAAAAATCCTATAAGAAAATGGACAAAAGACTTGAATATATATTTTACCAAATGAATTCACAGATAGCAAACATATGAAAGGATATTTAATATCATTAGCTATCAGGAAAATGTAAAATAAAACCACAGTAGTACATTATTATACACCCTTGAAAATGACTACAACAAAATCAATTTGATGCCTTAGGATGGGTATAGAGAAAACTGACCATGTATGATCCATAAAATGGTACAAGCATTAGAGCTCTGGAAAAGGGCTTGATGGTCTTTTAAAAACTGAGCCTACAATTGCCATATTACCCATAATTATATTTCCAAGCTTTTATCTTTGTGCAACTAAGATTTATGTTCATGTAAAACGTTGACATGAATATGCATAGAAGCCTAATCATAATACCCTCAGATTGGAAACAGCCGAAGGGCTTGTTTTTATCCAACAGGGTTAATGGTTAAAAACTGTAATGGATACAACATCCTGGAACATCAGTCATTTACAGGAGGGAAGAAGACACTAAAATATGCCACAACACTGACAGATTTTCAATGAATTATGTTTAGTAAAGAAATCCTGTCCTAAAGAATTACTGTATGATTACACTTACGTGCCTTTATGGAAACAACAAAATTATAGGAATGGAAAACATACTAGGATTTAAGGAGGGAATAGGGCATGGAAAGAATAGAAGTGCCTATACAGTATATCAGAAAAGAACTTACAATAATGAAAATGCCATTTTTTACCTCATTAATATCAGTATCCAAACTATGGTATTGTCCTGTAGTTTTGGGAGCTACTACATTGAATGAATGGGTAAAACTATGCACTGCTTCTTACAACCCCATGTGAATCTGCCATTAGCTCAAAATTTAAAAGTTTCATATTTTTCATGACAGATAAAAGGAGTAGGAGTGAGAGGACAAGTATAAGGGTCAGTAGTGGAGGTAATAGTAGATAATAGAACACAATCAAATGAAATAAAAAATGTGAAACTGAGGAAAGGATGAAGAAAAGAAATGACAGAAAGTGAAAATGGTTGAAGTAAGATACATGTATGTAGAAATTTGTCCAAATAAGACTCATTAATAAAAAACTTTAAATTAAAAAATAAGACCTAAAATAAACCTTATGAAGTTTAAATTTTAAAAGAAGCATCAGGCCATGTTCAGATGACCTAAAAACAATTTTTTTAAGAAAGCTTTTTAAATGGACCAAAAAGAGAGAAATGGATTGAATTTGAATAGTAGAATAAAATCTACACCAAAACAAAGGACAGAATACGCTAGGGGCTTCCTGAGAAGGATTTGCATCCGTATTGCAGAGATGCTTCTGAGGTGGGCAGCTCCAGGTTTGGCTGTGTGGCTCTAATTAGCTGTGCAGCACACTAAGAAACACTGGGGAGATCAATGGCATGGCCTGAGGCAGCTTAGAAGAAGGGAAAATGAAAAACTAATATGCATAGAAGACTGTCATTATCATTTAATAACAAATACACCTCCCTGTTCCTTGGAAACCTGTTTGTTTTATCAATCACTACTTATAATGCAAAAGAGAAATGAAAATAACATATACACTATAACATAGGCAGATAATTTCAATATTTTTGAAAATAAATTTTAAGATACATTTATGTATTCCCTATATTACATCAGCTTTCAACATCGAGGGCCACATATCACTCTTACTAGGCTCCTGAGTGAGTTATCAGAAAAGAAAATATAATTTCAAGAAGAAGATATAGCACCCTTTCCTTTTAAGTAATGGCAATACCATGGTATTTATTTACTCAAATTCCCTGCCCCATCTTCTGGATTGCGACACATTTCATTAAGAGCTATGCTCACTCCATGTGCAAAACTGGAATTTTAATGAAGGAGTTAGGAAAGCTCACACTCACACTTTCATGCCTGTCATTCCATACTGGTAGGCAAGCCTTCCTTAAAGGATTTGAACACCAAAGATGAAACAAATCTCACCACCCTTTGAGTTGTTTCAGATTGTACAGTGGTTTCTACTTCACACTGCTCACCACAATCCATCTCAAAAAGCTTCCTGAAATAAATCTTTCTGCTCTATGGCCCCACGTGCTTTTCTCATTCACTCTGTCACTGTCCCAGGGGATATGGATTCTGTACTCAAATGAAAATAGAAAATACAGGTTTAGGCAAAACATATCTTGAATAGAAATGTTTTAATGATTTCAATCTTTTCAAGGAATGAAATGAAAATTTTTGGGGGGGGGTACTTACTATTTTACATTAAGTTTGAAGTCACACAATTTATAGGACACAGTCACATGGTTTACGTACTTGAATACTCTTATTTATGTAGTTTAGAATATTTAGACTATTGATAGAAATCTGTGAACTAACTATTGAGCAGAAATTTGTGGAGTATTTCATAAGCCCAGCAGGACTAGATTTGTAGAGCTGTGGGGACCGCTTGCTCATGAGGCTATCATTGAATCTGTTTCTAGGTAGGTGGTGAAAAGCTTTTTAGATTAATTTTCTGACTTCTTTGTGACTTTTAACTTAATGGAGAATGTGATTAGAGTTTGGAAGTAAGCTGATAATACTCCATTGCAAAAATACAAGAAAATCTCTAAATCCCCCCAAAACTGTTTTCCAAGAGAGTTGATAATATTGATCAAAAGTTTTCATTAAAGTTCAGTGTGAGCTTCCTGGTCACAGGGGTTGAGTTTCACCCTGAAGAGTATTAGGTTATTCTTTCCTGTACTCAGATTTGAAAGTGTGAGACAATGCCATCAAATTGGGAGATTTCCATGTACATGTGCGGACACCCCTGGATAGAGATCTTATAGGACTCTAAGAAGGCGTCTTGAGAGTGTCTCAAGATTGTAGCAACTAAGTGGGTCTTATGGGTGGGCTTCTTTACTAAGCACCCTCTTGCCATGGTTGCTGGTTGAGACCTTCAAGGTCTATCAACAAGGTACTAGGAAGTTCTAGGGGTGGGGTGGTAAACTGCACACATCTATGACAGCCCTGGGTTAGGAGCACAAGTTGTCCTCTGAAGACCCACTTCACCACTAACAACTTGCTGGCTCTTGACAGATACCAGACTAAACTTCCTTATATTAAAAAAAATGACATAGACCATATTCAATCATACAATTAAATTTTTCTGTCATTTGTGAAGATTTATTAAGGCACCTTGTTATGTGCTTTTCAAACCGCACTCTACACCAACCTCATTCTAGCGTGGCTACAACCTTATTTCCTGGGAGGGGAAAGTGGGTGAATTTTGGTAACTCAGAACAATGAGCAGCAGAGGTAGGCTTTAAATCCAGATTAATCTGTTGTTAAAATCCCTGCTCTCACCCACTGAACTATAGCTCTCACCAGAGCTGCTACTGGGGAGTCTAGCAGTAGCAGAAGGGACTCCATTCCTTCAAACCTCTTGGCCTTTCCTGAGACTGCTATAGGCTTCCCACTCCCTTAAAATTATGATGTGAAAGGAGAATGAAGGTTTTGTTCCTCATACTGTGATTGCTACAGTAGGAGGAAGCAAGTATCTTGGGGACAGAATTATTTCTCCTGGTTCTAAATACACAGAAACCCAGACCGAGGACTCTTGCTGTCTGCGCAGCAGCAGTTGAATACATGAGGGAAAGGTTCAAGTACAACATTCCCTGCACATTTGAGTTCACACTTAGCTATTCCCTTCCAACTTCAGAGTCTCACTTTATAAAAACCTCCTTCTGTACAAAAGTAGCTCTCAGTGAGTTGTTAGAACATTGGAGAAAGTGACTTTTCTCTTTGTTTAATGCCTAACTACTTGCACCTCTTGTGCCTTGCACCAGCTTTGGTATCCAGCATGATGGCAAAGAAAATGACTGCGAGCCCATGGGCAGACATCCGTACATCATGTCCCATCAACTCCAGTACGATCCCACCCCGCTGACCTGGTCCAAGTGCAGCAGAGAGTACATCACCCGCTTCTTGGAGTAAGTGATGACGCATTGCTTTATACCGTCTCTTGGATCTTTACAGAGCAGTTTGTGTTATTGTATGCATACAAGCTGCTGCTTAGAAAAGGCTCAGTTGTGTATCTTAGGCCATGGTATTGTGGTGGCATCACGGGGTGGGTTGCACATCTGCTTTCTAACCCTGAAATTTGGGTGAACTCAGCTCCCTAGCCACAGCCTGAAGGCTCCTGTTTTGAAGGGTCTTTTCAAAATGGGATCATAAATGAAGTTCCTGGAGACTGGCATGGACATACAGGACAAGTCAAAAGAAGCATTCAACCAAAGCCTATTGAGGATAGGATGATAATGGCTTAATTTTCCTCCTTCTTGTATTTTCTAGATAATAATTATGAACATATACCATTTGATAAGATTTGTATTTTCCATTACAAGCTTCCCATTGGGCCCCAAATTTCTCTAGCATGTAAAAGAAAAGTTGTCTTGAAGGACAAAGGGCAACTGAGAGGGAGAGAGGAATGAAATGCTGAAGGAATTCACAAACAACTGCTCTCATTTCTCTTGTTCGCAGCCGGGGCTGGGGGTTCTGTCTTGATGATGTCCCCAAAAAGAAAGGTTTGAAGTCCAAGGTCATTGCCCCTGGAGTGATTTATGATGTTCATCACCAATGCCAGCTGCAGTATGGCCCCAATGCTACCTTCTGCCAGGAAGTAGAAGTAAGTGCTGGGTATGTTGGTCTCTCCAATAGATCGAAGCAACTGAGATCTCCAGCAATTTCAAGGAAGAACATGGAAATATTAGGAAATTTGAGGCCTGCTTAGGCAGATGCAGGGACTGGAGTTTGCTCCCTGGCTCCACATGTTGTGCCGGCCCTGTCTCAGGTGCCCTGAGACTGAGACTGAGCCCAAGCATGGTGGTGCACACCTGTGTCCCAGTGCTTGGGAGGCTGAAAACAGGAGGATCACTATGAGTCCAATCTGTGCAGTGAGACCCTGTAGACACTGTACTAAATACATAAAAAAGAAGTAAATCTGAGGATTGAGACCCAGAAATGGAATCCCTCAATATGTGACAAGATATAAGTATATTTGCAAATATATGAGTTCATGAACTTGATTCCACAATTCTTGTGGAAAACTGAGTTGGACAAGGATCAAGTCAAATTCAGTAGTTAGCTTCCATGTTGATATGTTGAGAAAGAGACGGATATATGTGTAGATATACATATAGAGATAGATAGATATATTCAGATATATATGTAGATGAATATGGAAACATATATGGAGATATATCACATCTATACCTATATCCGTATCTCTATATCCAACTTTCCACCTGACCTAGGCCCTAAACATCATTTCTAGTATTCAAGTGATCACTAAACCTAAAATCTAGATTACTACTGTTGTGTCTCTGTATTTAGAAAGGCAAACTTCAGATAGATAAATACTTCATTATGTTTCCAGCTTCTGAGGAGTACCCATAATTTCTTACCAACTCAAGAGTGCATTTCATTCATTCATGTAGAAGTCATATAGAGGGGCTGTTAGAATGTTAGAAGTTTTATAGTGTTTTAGAAGGTATATGAGGAGCCGGGGAGATGGTTCAGTAGAATAAGTGCTTCCCTGGCAAGTGCAAGGGCCTGAGTTCAATCCCCGGTTCTGCAAAAAAAGAAGAAGAAGAGGAAGAGGAAGAGGAAGAGGAAGAGGAAGAGGAAGAGGAAGAGGAAGAGGAAGTACTGGGCTCCCTGCCACCTCCAGAATTTTGCATACTCTGGTTTCTTTGTATGATCCTTCTTGTCATTTGAGTCTCAGTTTAAATATCACTTTATCTTATTTGGCATTTTCATTTTTAATTTTAATTTTATTTATTCGTTTGTGCATTTGTTTGGTTTTGTATTTAGTACATGGTCTATAGATTCTACAGGGTCTCACTGCATAGGTTGGACTCATAGTGATCTGCCTGTGTTCAGCCTCCCAAACGCTGGGATTACAGGGCGCTCCACCACCCCCGGTCTCAGTGGCTCTCTCAGCGCATCCTGCGGGTGGGGCCTGAACCACATGCCGAGGCTAGCACCCAGGCCTCTGTGCTCTGCCTAAGCAGGCACTTTAATCCACTGAGCTATGTGGCCGGCCCCTATATGACGTTTTTGTAATCTGTACTTTCTTGTTTACTTATATTAGTCTAGAGTCTCTTCTACTACATTTTAAGATGTCTAAGAAACTCTTTCTCCTTGAGACTCAGCAGTATGTATTACATAGCTTTCCTCTCTGAGCAGGACTCAGGAGTCTACTTAAAGCTGAACTTTTGAGAGGGCTATTCTCCACAGAAGTGGTGGACTAAAACAAATCTACCATTTGCAAAGGGCTTTGACAAAGTCAGCTTAGGCTGGCTTTTGAGGTGAAAAGAGGAAGGGGATTCTGGTGGATAACATTCTCACTTGAAAGTTATTTACTGTAATCCCACTTGATGCCAAGTCAGAGTTTGAATGTCTGCCCTGTAGGGTTGAAGTATTATGATACCAAAAATAACAACAGTGATAACATTTTGTCCAGTAATATTGTAGAGGCCCAGGACTAACGGTGAAACTGCCCTAGGGGAACCAACAACAAACTAATAGATAAACCTGCTTTCAAATGAATTCACAATTCAGCCTTTAATTTAAAAATAGAAAATTATCTGTCTTTAGCTTCAAATAATAGAACTTTTGATAATTCAACTTTTAATAGGAATAATAAAAATACATAAAATTACATTTGTATACCAAAATAAAACTAAACTATATGAAAGGCAAATACAAAGAAAAACAAATACAACTTTTAGAAATTAAAAAAAAACATGCTTATGGCTTAAAATTTAATAAATGGAATGAATAGCAGAATTTGACACAGTTGAAGGGATACATTAATTAAATGTCACTGAGAGCTGAAAAAAATTGCCATCCAACTTGCATGTTTCTAAGATGTAAGTAAAGGAGAGGGAAAGTCCTTCAACTTCCTATATAATTTAGAGCTAGGAAATGTAAAAGTCAAGATGGAACATGAAAGACAAGAAATTGACTTATCAACACAATTATGGGTTCCAGAATAAGAATGGAGAGACAAAATTTAGGTAGATAAACAGAGAATTTTCTAAAATTGTTTAAAATCTGAAATCTTATGATGAAAAATACATTCAATGAATAATATGATAGAAGATGTGTGTAAAGAAATGACAGAGGAGTGATTGGAACAAGAAATGAAAAGGTAGCTCTGAGTACCTAAACCATGACATATTTTTATCCCATGCAATAATATATGTAAAATAAATCAGACCCACAGGTATAAACATCATTCTGTCTTCTTAGTGTAAGAATCTGAAAGAATAAATAAAATCTGAAAAGCACAATAGATATAGTAAATGGAAAGATAATGAACATAAGGAATAAACAACTGGAATGAGGGAAAGGAGAAAAGACAAGGAAAAAAGGGAAGGGGAAAAATCATGTAAGTATATACACAAGATAGCCAAGATGTTTGTACTACTAATTTCTATCAGATTTTTGAAGATAGTAGTTAATTCTTAAAATTTTTACTTTGACCAATTTTATATGATTGTATCTCTAACCTGAGCAACTACACTGAAGACAACAATGTGCACTATAACAACCACTGAGGCAGTGAGATAGCTCAACGGAGTAAGCACCTGCTTAGGCAAGCGCAGGGACTTGGGCTCGGTACCCAGCACAATGTGCTGCGCTGGCCCTGCTCCCAGGTGCACTGGGCTAGCCACAGAGACTGGGCACAGTTGTGCATGCCTGTAATCCCAGTGCTGGGAAGACTAAGATAGGAGGATCATTACGGGTCCATCTGCGTAGTGAGACCCTGTACCAAATTATATATATATATATATATCAACAACCGCTGTTGAATACTATCATCTTATTTTTTAATTCCATATCATTTCTAATATCTTACCTATTATTTTTCTATTCTCTTTAAAATAAAAAAGAATCATTACAATCTTGCTGTGTGTGCATAAGGGTAGAAATACAAGAAATACAAGAATGTGCATCAAAAGCAAGCTGACTACTTTGGGCAATGAACAAGTGACCTGAATCTTTCTGGGTGGCATAGTTCCCATTTCCTGCAGGGAGGAGGCTCAAGCTGTAAACATGTCAGGTATCTGAAATCAGCCGAAGTTTTAGTTTGCCTAGGATAGTGAATATCATCAGTTATCTACCCAGGTTTAATGAATGCTATACTAGATATTGTCCCACACATAGAGAAATGATGGTCTCAATTTAAGAACGGTGTTTTAGCACTCATTTCTATATTGTTTTACCTGGCCTGCAGACCACGGTTTACAGAAATACCAAGTAGAGTTTAAACTAAGATTTCTAATGTTTTACTTCTATTCAGTCACAACTGTAGCAAGTATTGCATGCATCTGTTTTACCATAACTGGAGAAATGCTTTTGTGCAAGTTTTAAACTCTCACAATTGATTGCCAGAATGTTTGCCAGACACTGTGGTGCTCAGTGAAAGGTTTCTGTCGCTCTAAGCTGGATGCTGCAGCAGATGGGACCCGATGTGGCGAGAAGAAGGTGAGGAGTTGGCCTGAAGAAGGAAGTCAGGAGAGAGGATACCTGGGGCTCTAGGGAGGGTTAGGGGGAAGGCTTGGAGAAGGGGTGAAGCTCTCTCTAGGTAAAAAGCACTGAAAAGAGTCACATGATCAGAGAGCCAGCAGAGAGGATTTTGCTTCCACTAAGCTCTTGAGCTTTTATTGGGAGCAAGTAGTCAACAAGAGAGAGTTGATTCCAAACTTCACTTGCAAAACATTTGTCCCATCTTTCCCTGATGAACTTCTGTGCAGGCTCTGGTCAACAGCATCTGCTGAGCCCATTACTGGTCTTTGTTGTGACATTTTTATCTCCCACACTGGAGACCCGGAAAGAACAAGTCAATAACTTTTTCCTTTCAAAATGTCGAATTTGAGAAATTTAGAGTTTTCTTTTTCTGATACTACTGGTTTTTTTTTTTTTTTAAGTTCTTCCTACTGTACCAAGTAGAAAGGGAACACACCCAAGAACCTAGAGGCATTAGATATCCTCCCAACTGAGAAAAGAGCCACTCATGCTGCAAAATTAAGTGAGTTTTACAGAGAGTTCAGGAATTAGGGGGTCAGTGGTTACTTTTATGCAACTTCAGTGTGGCATGAACATCACTGAGATAATGGACGTTGGTTAAAATCTCCAATGATTAGAATTAATGAAGAAAAATAGTCTAGTAGATAAAGTACTCAGAAATCCTTCAGAAAATGTGGCCATTTCCAACAGCTGTTTTATTTCTTTCATTTTAATTGTTTGTTAACCTTTCTTGCTTTGCAAGAAGGTAAGGTTATTACATCTTACATGAAATTAAATCTGCTAAACAACTATGATATTAAGTTGATATTTGTAATGGTTGGTACATTTTGTCCACTTGAGAAGTTTAGAAGCTTAGGTAAGTGACTCAGCAAGGGGCTAAGGTCCTCGCTTTGTAAACATCCTGAACCTGTGCAAGAGAGGGTACAGATATGGTGTGGGCATAAAGAACCCACCCTAGGGTTGAAAGCCCACATGGAATATGCAAGAGGAAAAGAGACGCCCTCCCTCCCCCATTGCTCTTGCTGCTTTTACTGTCTTCTCTTGCCTTGAAGTATTGCCCCTATGCCAGGCCACCCCGCCTTGGTGCTAGCTGGTTATGGACTGAACCATCCATAAACTTCAAGTTAAGTAGGCCTTTCCTTCCTTAATTTTTTGTGTTGGGCATTTTGTCTCAGCAATGAGAGAAAAAGTAACTAAGACAACATCTTTCCATATCAAGACTTTCTTGATGAACAAAATAGTTTGCTGATTTATATTCCAGGATGCAATCTGCGGCCCGTGCTCCAAATAGCAATCCTGCACTGATTGTGCTACAGAATGTGAAGCTCTCATCATTCCTGAAAATCTTTAATTCTAAAAATTGAGACTGCAGGAAAATTGTTTTATAAGCTCTTCTTTGTTTTGCATCAGATATGTGCCTAAAGGAAGCCTGATTTTCTGGGGAAGATTGAGTGTAGACTTCAGGGCTTTGGGCTCAGCTTGCTTGGGGACATCCTGACACTTTCTTCTCCTGTCTCTTGCTGTTGCAGTGGTGCATGGCCGGCAAGTGCATCACAGTGGGGAAGAAACCAGAAAGCATCCCTGGAGGCTGGGGCCTCTGGTCACCCTGGTCCCACTGCTCCAGGACCTGTGGGGCTGGAGCCCAAAGTGCAGAGAGGCACTGCAACAACCCCGAGTAAGTCAGCCATGTGTATCTCCTTCTATTCCCTCCACAACTGCCTAAAGACCAGTCTTAACTAATATGGTTTAGCAACCTCACACCTCTTGAGGAACATTAAATGGGTTCCCAAAGGCAAAAAGAACCAAGAGATTCAGAAGAATGAAAAAAATGATTCTACTTTCTTTTGGTTTTCTTTCAAATCTTAATACTTATAAGTATACTGATTCCATTGATTAGGGAAATACAACAAATTTATTTTACATATATGATCTATGGGAAATCCCCAGGCCACTATGTAATTAAGTTCTTTGAGTTAACTCCATTCTATCATTAAGAGATTTGTCATACCCAATTTTGGTGATTAAATTGTGGCTTGTTTTCATTCATGAGGAATATATAGTTATACAAAAATGTTATTCTTCCTTTAGGTAACTGGCATAACCATTAAACATGTTTTAAGAGAAGTTTTTACCAATACTTGTGGGATAGAAGTGAAATGGAAGGACACAAAGTATCCCTATGTCACTGTCAACAAAAATTCAGGTTAACCTCAAATAATCAAGGACATCTCTGAGTAGCTCCTATAAGTAAAATGCCAATAAGTAAAATGCCTGCTACATATGTGAACTTCCTTGATCAAAATTCTTTCCTATAAATCGACTCAACTCATAGAAAGGTGGGGAGGAAGAGAGAGAATAATGCATGGGCATTCAAAGGGAACAAATAACAGTAGAACCACACAAAAATTGTATCTAATGGTGCTGGAAAAACTCACTTTCCACATGTCACAAGCTAAAACTACACCCATGCCTGTCACCATGCACAAAGCTATAGTCAAAATGGATCAAAGACTTAAATATTAAAACAGAAACACTAAATCTTCTGGAAGAAAATGTTGGTAGAAAACTTAAAGACATAGGAGCTTCTTGCCTACCAACTCCAGCCAGTGGCCAGGTCCTGTGCCCTAGCGAAACTCCCCACCTCCAGCCAGTGGTCAGGCCTGGTGTGAAACCCTGCAGGGGAACTCCAGGCAGAGTGGTTAAGAATGATATCCAGCCAGATAATCCAAGAACAGAACAGCTTGCCAATGGGGCACAGCAGGTTTACTTCCCCAGGTTGCAGCAGGAAGAAGCCAAGCACAGTAGCTGGACAAGTTCTAATTTGGTAGATCTGGACCTGGTAAACTGAGGCACACTGCAAGACTAAGTAGACTCAGATCTATAAGAATATCCATTCTCTCTCTCTCTCTCTCTCTCTCTTGATCGAGAGAGGGGACAACAGGTAACTGGCATGAAAGTCTTCCTGGAAGTCTCTGGGAACATCGAGGGGAGGTGATCATACAGATAGAAGGGAAACTAATTTAAATTCAAATTCTATACAGTCATGGTGCTGACCCTTAAGGTCTAAAATACAAACCCATTAATTACAAAACCTTGCTAAATCTCACTACCCATTATTAGTGATGTTAATTCTAGTACTGTAAATACAAAAATGCAACTGCCTTAACCATATAATCTCTCTTGGTTAATAAGATTGGTAGGAGTTAAGGTGACTACTACATCAAGACTCTGCACTGAAAGTCAGAAGACAGTGCTTTACAAAAATGACAAAGAGAAGGAGCAAAATGCAGTCTCAGGCCCCGAGGCCTCCCAGAGCAAATGCAGAAGACACTAGCATTGAAAAAATTGGAAGCCACGCTCTTGAAATCTCTGAAATAATAGCATCTGAAGTAAAGAAACAACTGCATAAAGGTATAGAGGTTATCAGATCAGAAATAATCACTGAGGTAAAAAAAATGATACTATAATGAAAGAAAACCTCTAGCCATTTTTTATGCAGTACCAGGGATTGAACTCAGGACCTTGCTCATGCCAGACAAACACTTTCTATTGAGCTATCTCCCCAGCCCTATAATGAAAGAATTACTGAGTGCTTCCAAAGTGATTAAAAAAAAATAGAGGACAATATAAAAATGATGCAATCCTTCAATAAGCAATATAGGAAATAAGTAGAATGCATGAAGCAAATTCAAAGAGATATACAGGAAATTAAAACAAGCTGGCAAAGCTGTTTGAACGAAAGTGAAGATAGAGTTTCAGATTTTGAAGACACCATTTCAGCTAGTGAAAAGATAAGAAAAGATCTCTTGAAAACAACTAAGATGTGGGAAAAAAAATTCATCACCTGCAAGGTGATGCAAAGATGAACAACGTGAGACTAATAGGCATCAGTAAGAAAGAAGGAGTCAACCCAAGTGACATAAAAAGAATCTGGACAGAAGTAATACCAGAAAATTTCCCTAATATGGAGAAACAATTCGACTTTCAGGTAACTGAAGAATATAGAACTCCAAATAACATCAACCCAATTAAAAACACACTCAGACATAAATCCCAGAAATCCAGAACAAAAACAATATATTAAAAGCTGCTAAAGAAAAGAAACATCACATTTAAAGTAAAACCCATCAGAATAGTGGCAGATTTCTCTTAAGAAACCTTCAAGTTAAGAAGAGCATGGAGCAAAATACTTCAAGTCTTGCAAGAAAACAAAGACCAGCCCAGACTGCTATATCCTGCAAAACTCTCTTTCAAGTTTGATGGAGACAGTATGGTAATAATTGGTATGTCATGACAAGATGTATTTAGAAGACCAGAATAACAGGCATTCCAAGTGTGACCCTTCTATTACACATTGCTATCTTCAGTGCAGTTGCTTGGTTCACAGGTAGCAGCATATATAGCTAGTCAGGTTGAGAATCCTACCAATTAACTATTAGTTTCAAAAACCTGTTGATGTTTCTCAGGATCGTTGCCATGCCCATTTTGTGCATACAAGTATATGGCTTTATCCCTGTCCTGTTTCCCAGTTTTTCTCCTTACCCTCTCCTCGTTGTGCAGTCCTCAAGTTCTCGTTTTCCTTTTAGTTGTGTTATACCTTTCTATTTGTATTTCTTCTTTGGAGTTCTTATACTAGGGAGACTATACGATATTTACACATGTGAGTCTGGTTTATTGCACTTATGAGCATATCTTCAAGTGGCATCCACTTAAATACAAATGCTTCAAGTTTGTCATTCTTTATAGCTGAGTAACAGGTAAAAGGTTTTTTTTTGTTGTTTTTCTTTTTTTAAATGGGTAATAGGGGCCGGGGAGATGGCTCAGTGGAATAAGCGCTTCCCTGGCAAGCGCAAGGGCCTGAGTTCAATCCCCAGTTCCGCAAAAAAAAATAAATAAATAAATAAATGGGTAATAAATGAAAAAAAGACACAAGAAAAAGAAAAATAAATATCACAAGACTGTCCTGCTACAATGCTGTATATGGTTAGATTTCTAAATTTCTGTGTAAAAATATGTGTTTATTCCTATTTTTTCTTCATATTCTGTAAGGACTTAAATTTCAGTGTATCAATACTTGATGGAAGATACCTGTTCCACTTTATGCCTAAGATGTTTGATATTTAGACAGATACTTAGGGTAAACCAAATTGCATATGTTGCAGGGTAATAATAAGCTTCTCTTCTGGAGGGTTAACAACCTTAGTTTGCAGATCAAAAATTGAAGAAAAGGAAGGGCTACAAGGTCAGTCAACATTTTGGCCCTAGCCTTTCAAAGTCAGTGAAGACTGAGAACATAGGAGAACCTGTACTGTAACATCATGTAACTCAGTTGTGCCCCAAACGTTCTGATCAAGGAGATTATGGAGCCACAAAGGAATGTAATTATGTACAGTGTACCTAAGGAGTGTCACATGGAGAGAAAACTTTCTCTCAGGCCTTCACAGAGAGCAAATTG